GCTAGACCCCGGGCCAGGCCGGTCGCGGGTGGCCTCGGGGCCTCGCTGCAACTTCTCGGCCCGAGCTCCACGCGCCCTCAGTCAGTCGTGGGCCCCCCACCCGCTTCCTTTCATTCTCAGGCTCGGAAATAGGCCAGGGGGCGGGGTGGAAGCTACACCTGGTGCAGCCCTGGTTTCTGAGGCAAAAGAGCTTTTCTTCCCAGCCCTGGGAAGGCATTTTAACCATAGGCTGCTCAGATCTTCCCGTCCCGATACCGTACGGAAAGCGCCGGCGACCTGGGCACTGACAGCACTGCCGAGACCAGGTGAGAAGCATCTTTTCGGCCCGGTTCTGCTGGCTCTGTGCCCGCAGGGTGGGACGGGGCGCGACAGGTCGCCCCGGTGAGTGCCTGCGCCTCCTTGGCCGCTCCAGTCACGTTAGGGGGCCCTGTACCTCGCAAACTTAGACAAGACCAGAGCAGGCGACCTTGCGGTGCCTGAAGGGCTTGGAGATGGGCTTCACATCCGGGGGCAGAGGGATCGGTCAGAGCCCAGGGCCGAGGGGTTGTATCCAGTGGCGTAAAGGTGAAAGTGAATTTGTGTTTTCTTCGAGTGTTCATGTCTCTCTGTAGAAACTACTACTTGGGAACTGATTTTTAACTAGCGGGAGGCAGCAAGCTAACTTGAAGCAACGAAGTTTTCAAAACAGAGGATGAAAATGCTGTTTCTAAGGGCTGTCAGAACAGGACGGTGAGATTATTGTAATATTATTTGCCGTGTGAGTCTTTTTATGTGACGGGTTCTTCGTGACAAAAGATACAAGCGTATCATAGTTTCTGTAGAAAGGATCCGGCTGCAGACAGCGATGGGCAAACCTTTGCATTAGTTGGTGTGGACGAATTAAAATGGACATTGGATATTTTGTGAGGGGAAAGAACTAGAATGTACCTATATGTTGGATTAAAATTATTAGTAATCATACAGGTAACAATTGACATTTAACTTTGTTTCAGTAGCTAAAAGTACTGTTATATAAGTGATTCATTAGCAAGTCGAATTTTTAACCTTCCTGGCCAAAGAATAGTTAATATTTTTTGAAGTTTAACTAATGCAGAGCTGTAGGTTTTTCTGTCCTTGATGCCTGGATGAAAATGCAGTGTAAACAGCTTTAATGCATGACCTAGAGATGCTCGGAGGGGAGAGTGGCTCTCTGGTTCCTTTGATGGTAGGTGACTTGTTTAAAGGAGACCTTGACAGGTTGGAAAGTATCTCTTCACCAAGGAAACTGCCCCGAGATGCTCTGCATTTGCTCAGGTTTGAAAAGGGAACTCTTTATAGACATTTTTCCTAACTCAAAACAAATTGTATTTTTAGAAAGATTCAATTTTATAGTGCGTTCTTTGGAAGTAATTTGCCCTTCTCTGGGTGTATTTTAACAGAACTAAAGCACCAAGGTAGTTTGGAGGTTTTAATAGAATTTTGCTTAACAGTAGAGTGGTGACATTGAATATGCTTGGCCTGTGTAGTTCATTAATTCTGCCTTAGGGGGGGTGGGTGAATCTCACGTCTCTATTTGTTTAAGTGTATTTCCTAAAGCCAAACCTTTTGGGGGATTAAAAGGACTGTAAAGAAGAGGTGTTAATCAGACTTTACCTGTAGCATTTCTGAGAGGTGGATATGTGAATACTTCAGAGCATTTTACTTGAAAGAACAAAGGATTAATCTTCGAAATCAAAGCACGTCATAGTGAAGGCTCTGTCATTGCTTTGAAGAAGACATAAGACAGACATACTTAGCGATACACAGGAGAGACATCCGAAAGAAACATGTAACCAAATCCTTGTGTTTACTGTATGTTGATGTGCTGACTTTGTTTTACAATGGGAACCGAGTGAAAAACTCATTGCAGCTAGCCTGTGATATAATGGGTTGTTAAATTAGGCTGTGAGCACTGGGTCTGTGCAATCTCACGTTTTTACTCATAGATAAATTAGGAAGTACTCTGAAAAGAGTGGCAAGGAGTATTCATTTAACGAGAATTCAAAGACAGACCAAAGGAGCTAAATACTCAGCCTGATTCTGGCAGATTTTAGTTCTTGGTAAGGCTGAAAGAATAGTGATTTGAAATGCCCAATTGAGTGTCCTGTGGCTTTTGTGATTCTCTTCACTTCATGGCATAAGAGGGGACAGTACATAAAACTCTTAGCTAAGAGGTGTTCTGAAGGGTTAGTCTCACTCACATTTGGGGTACATTTTTCTCGTCCAGAGAAACTTCAGTCATTCCGGGAAGGCGTGTTGAACAGGGTAAGCTGGAGGGTTCCAGCTAGGTGCTGTGTCTCCAAATGTGAAGTGGAGATAATGGTACTTGCTCAGGTCTTGTGAGGAGGGAACTAAATAATGGGTGTAAAATGCTGAGTCTGCTGTTGGCAATTGTGAGCAGTCATAAAGAGCGGTTACACCAGGAAGTAGAAGCGCGTTAACGTACTGTCATCCCAGCAGGCTGCAGAGGGGCAGGTGCATAATTGCCTCTCGAATTGAATGTTCGAGTAAGTGGGTCATTCCTTATCCTGTAGTAATCAGAGTTCCTTGGGCACTTGAAGCTGGCGCTGTCACGCTTGCCTCTCCTCCACCGTGGACAGGCCTTTGGCTATGTAAGTTAAAGATGATTTTGTGATTATTTTTGGAGACGGGGAGGTAGATAGTAGAGGGAGGGAGAAGCTAGCCAACTGGAATTCTGAAACAGATTTTAAACATTTGCTTACCTTACTGTTGCTCATGTTTGTAAAAGTATATTCCTGGATAATGTGATAGCAATTCCTGGAGTTAGACAAGGTGGAGAATATCCTTCATTGTTTAGAAATGGAGTACAGTATTTGGACCTTGGGGAGGAAGCAGCAGCTTTTCAGTGTCTCATCATTTCCAAGGCAGCTGTGGCATTAAAAGCCATAAAAACAGACTCGACCCTTTTTCTTGCAGAATTCATGTCTGCTGGTAATGAGTAGGTAAACCTGTAATTTAACCTGTGTTAAGTTGTACAGGAAAAACGTCAAGGTCTGTGTGTGAACTCCAAAATTCATGTTGAAATTTGGTCCCCAAAGGCATATGTTAATGATATTTGGAGGCGGGGTGAGTTCGGTTGAATGAGTTCGCGTGAGCCTCATAATGGCATTAATAGCTTTATGAGAAGAAGAGAGGCCCAGCTTAGCAGGCTTGCCCTGTCTTGCCCAGTGATGCCATACATCTCCGCAGAACTAACTCTACAGTGTGCTCCTAGCAACAAGTCCCTCATCAGATGCTGACTGGCAGATACTGGCATGGTGTTCTAGACTTCTCAGCCTCAGAAGTGTGGGTTAAATAAATGTCGGTTCCTTATACATCATCTGCTCTGTAGCATTCAGTTTTAGCAAGTGCAAGTGGACGAAGGCAGAAACAGGGAAATTGACTTGCAAAAGGGAGGAGGTCAGGAATGCTGCTGGAGGAAGTGAAGGGAGGGAGAGCATTTAATGCAGAATGAAGTCTGTGTTTGTGTGTGTGTGTGTGTGTGTGTGTGTGTGTGTGTGTGTGTGTGTGTGTGTGTGTTTAGGGGAAGACAGTGGAGAGGACAGGTGTCTTTGCAGAAGAAACAACGCTATGTAACTGAGGCCGGAGCCATAGGCTTAGAAAGTGGGATTTATTTTTCTTTTCTCATCCATAAAGTTTATAGTGAAAGTAGAACCCTTTTTGGGTTTAAATGTCTTACCTTAGGCTTTTTTTTTTTTTTTTACAGAAAATTGAAGTATAAGAAGGAAATTACATTCTTAACTTGGTTGATCAGAAACTAAGCCAGTATTTATCATAAATGAATAATTTGTCAGCACTTTGTATTAATTGTCTGTCTTGAAAACCATATGGGGCTGGTGGTGTAGCACAGTGGTAGAACATGTACTTAGCATGTTGGACTAATTTAATTTCCTTTTTAAAATCTAGTAGATATTTGTTTAAAATTCATGTTATATGTATATTTCCAGCTTTCACACGTACATACACACACATCCAGGTGGAGTGGACAAGAGTTGTGAGGACTGATTTGCCTCCTGTTTTCCATGGGGAAAGCTCCTAGGCTCTGTTTGGGAAGCCCCGGCCCAGCCCTATGATGCTGAGACACTGGTTCGCAGAGCAGTCATAGAAAGCAGTCTCGCCATTGGTGCTCTGCACTTTCAAGGTCTGTCAGGGACTTGGTGTGTGATCCTCTTCCCTGTGTGAATGTTGTTACTTTTTGTTTTTCTCTGTTTCCTTTTCTTTTTTTGTTCCTTCTCCGGGGATCTACCTGATTGTTCCTCATTTGTCCACATTTCTCCTCACACCCAGTCCCTAAACGGTTATTAGTCCGATTTGATTAGTCCTGGATGTCTGGTTTGCAACCTTCTTGTTCCTCATTGCGTCACCGTGGATGTCAGATGGACACAACCTTTTCTCCTTTCACGGTTCTCCCAAGGCTTTCCAGGTCATCTTGATGTACTGAATGTTCAAATTTCTCTCTTCTATTTCTTATATCAATCAGGTTGCTGATCAGGGAAACTTTCTGGGCTACTTTAAGCAGAACAGGACTAAGTGTGGCAGTGAAGTACTTTCAAGATGTTTGGAAGGAGAGATTGCTCCTTAAAAAGAGGAGAGGATATTGGCTGAGTCTCGTTTGATGACTCCCAGGCTGAATTGGCTCTAGGGTTGCTGCCCCCACAGCTACAGGGTGGTAACTGGGACTCAAGCCATCACCGGAGCTACTGACATCAAGAACACACTGTTTGGCTGTGCTCCAGTGATCAGAGGAGCTACTCCAAAATACCTCTCCACTCCAGGAAGCTCATGCCTGAATACTACTACCAACAACAAAAGCAAGCTAACAAACAATGTCATCCTTGGATACCTCCTCTCCCTCTTTCCTTAATTACCACCCACCTCCCTCTTTTTCCAGTTCATCTCACTGATAGTACCTAATCTGTGCCCAGAACTCTAGCTCAGGAGACCCTGGGAAATGTTTATGGGCTTATAATCCCAGAGATAGATGAATGTGCAATTGAAGGACCTAGAAGTTAATGTTGACTGACAAGCCAGCATGTCTAGCACATATCTAAAAATACAGTTCACCAGAGGCTTAGCTAGAATATTTAATTCAAAGAAGATTGAGATAGACTTTGGATGATATGTTGTAAAAATGAAGGATCTAGCTGCTAACCAATTACTCTTTGAAACAGTTGGATATTATAGGGTTCACAGTTGAAACTACCAGAAAATGCAGTAAGCAAATAAATAAAAGAAGCCGAGCACCTGTCTCTGCTTGTCTGAATGT